CCACCGATTTGGATCACTTGTTGTTCCCTTGTCCCTGGGTTTGTTAACACCACTTCCTTTCCCCCCACCTCCCCCTCTCCCATGTCCCCCTGGAACGGTCAGTCCTGTTGTTTTCTCCTCCAGATTGTTCATCCAGCCTATCTGCGGAGATAATAACATGCACAAAAACAAAACAGAGCAAAACCAAGCAACAAAACAACAAGCCAGTGACAAAAAAATGATACAAAAAAACCCACAACATCCGAACAACAAAAAAGAAAAGCTTGTAGTTAGTTCAAGGACTGTTTGTTGGCCTTTAGGAGTGTTTTCTGGTCCCGTCTGATGGGGCGCCAAGCCCTGGCCCCAAAGTCTAGTTTTGGTCTCTCTGGGGACTTCGTTGCTCTGTACCCCTTGCTGTTCTGTTGTGCCCTTAGTGTTTTGCCTCAGTGTGGTGGGATCAGGTTGGGCGCAATTCCCGCACTGTGTCTCCAGTGTTGTCCCCTGTAGGGCTATGGGTCAGTGAGGGATGTCGTGTCTCATAATGGGGCCAACTATATGGTCTTTTCTATGGATTGGCTGCTCTGAGCGGGAATGTCGTCATTAAGGCTTGGTGGTCCAGGATGTGCTCCACTCTCTTCCTCCCCCTTCATTTGCTCCCTTGTGCTCTGATCAGATTTGAAATTTTAAAATAGCATTCTGGCTGCTGTGTAAAAAAACAGATTGGGCGCTTTACACAATTGATGTGTGTATGGATTGGGATAACAGTTGTATGAGCCCCTAATAAAATGTTAAAAAAAAAAAAAAGATTCAAGGTCACAAGAAAATGAATCCAATTAAAAAAAAAAAAAACAGATTGGGAAGGAACAGGGCTGAAAATTTGGAGATAAATTAGGCTTTATCAATTGTCCTAGCTCTTAGCTTGAGGGATGGCTGTATGCTTAAAAGGTTAGAGAGAGATGAGGTTGCAAAGGTAAATGGGGCTCATTTGTGGGGACTTTGAGAGCCAGGAGCTTGCAGGTTGGAGTAGGGGGAGTTTTCTGGTGGACCGGGGTTGATTACAAATGTCTGGGATTGCCAGGATTACCTTCAGGCCTTGTGCACGTTGCTTTTCATTGCCAGGATCTGTTATAGAGAAGCGTCAAGGAGGTTCCTTAGCAAGGAAACAGCAGTAATACACAGGTTATAAGCATAGGCCTTGGAGTCAGGCAAACCTTGGTTTGGATCTTGCCTTTACCACTTATTAGACCTGTGATGTTGTATAACTGAGTCTTAGTTTCCTTGCTGTGGAAAAGAATAATAATAGCTAACATCAGTTCACTTGTTCATTAGCTGTGTGGGCTCTAGCACATTACCCAACCTCTCTGTTCTTCAGCTTCCTCATAAGAGTACTGACCAGTTAGGGTTATTGTCATGATTGAGTGCATTTATATAAGTCATTCATTTCCCTAAGTGCTCCACAGTTGCCTTCCCCATGATGTGTCAGCCCTCTCCCCGTTTCTGCTCTCTGTTCTTCGTTTCCTTCCAGGTGGATTTTCTACCCCTTCCTGCATTCTCATCTTTGCTCTTGGGGCAAATGTTGTCCTTTTGATGTCCTATATTTAATTGTTCTAAGGAACTCATTCTTCTCAGGTATTGTTTTTACATTAATTATTTGATTGAAAGATAGTCTCTGGCTTCAGTTCCAGGTCAGAGGGTCTTAAGACCATAGTCTTGGAGGTTCCTACAGTCTCTCAGGCCAGCGAGTCTGGTCTTTTTATTTTGTGAATTTGATGTTTGTTTTACATTTTTCTCCTCTGTTTAAAACTCTCTGTTTGTGATCCCAGTTATAGTGATCAGTAGTGACAGCCATTGTGTTAGTCTGGGTTGACTAGAGAAACAATTCCATAGACACACATATGTGTATAAGAAAGAGGTTTATATACAAGAACAATTGGATATTAAGAAAACATCCCAGCCCAGTCCAGATCAAGTTCATAAGTCTGATATTAGCCCGTATGTCCACTTCAAATGCACAAAACACATGCAATGACACCAAATGCAGGAAGATCACAGGCCAATGGGTGGCAAGTCTTGTGGATCCAGTGGCATTATAAGCATCTCAGCGCTGGCAGGGGTCTCCACGTGGCCTCCTCCAGCTTCAGAGGTCTCTGACTGAATCAGGGTAGCTTCATGTGGCTTCTTGTCAGAAATGTCTTGCAGGGAGTGAGCCAGAGAGAGTGTCTCCCACTTCCAAGGAGGAAATACAGGAGTTCCCAGAATTCTTAGGAGGAGGCTATGCTTATACAGAGGCCTCATTGGCTATGACCTGATTGACAGACTAGGCTCCACCCCTTCACTTTTAATCCTCACAAGTCCCAAATTGACACCAGATTTTGCAACTAATACAGCTATGCACTTGGTCGTGGGGTCCTGTAGGCTGCAATTCATTAGTCTTTTGGACTAAAGGCTCCCATGAGTCTTTGATTTTCTTCACTTTCCTTTGTTCTGGGTGGGAAGAGACCAATAGGTGTAGCTTTAGGTGGCTATTTGCAAATTTGGACAAGAAGAAACCAGTAGTTGTATCTTAGATAAGCTGTTTCCAAGCTTTTAAGACTCAAGATACGTCTCACACAAAGTAGGATCCAGAGCATGTCTTCTGAAAGAAGTTGAGCTTACTGAGAAGTTACTGAGTTTGCATGTTTTCTTGCCTGTGCTCATTCTTTTCTCTTCTTTTTGCAATCTCTCTCTCTTGTTGACCTGGTGAAGGCCCGTTCCTTGATCTGGTCCCAACTTAGATCACTGTGACAACCACAACTAAGGACACTCCTCTCTGGACTGTGAAGCACTTCCTGGCTCAATATGTAACCCAAGAAAACGGAGTTCTTAACTATGTGTCAGGCATTGTTTCAGATGTTGGAAATATTGTTGTTAGGGGCCATCAAGTTGGCTCTACCCATGGCAGCCCTGTGAATGAAACACTGCCCGGTCCTGCGCCATCCTCACAGTTGCTCCTCTGCTGGGCCGTTGTTGCAGCCATTGTGTCAGTTCATCTCATTGAGGGTCTTCCTCTCTCTCACTGCCCCTCCATTTTTCCAAGCATGATGTCCTTCTCCAGGGAGTGCTCTCTCCTGCCAGTATGCCCAAAGCACATGAGATGAAGTCTTGCCATCCTTTCCTCTATTGAGCACTTTAGCTTTAGCTGCTGTACTTCTTCCAAGACAAATGGGTTAACTGTCCTTTTAGGACTCCATGGTACTTTCAGTGTTCTTTGCCAGCACCACAATTCAAATGCATTGATTCTTCTTCTGCCTTCCTTAGTCATTGTCCAATTTCATATCCACATGAGGCAATTGAAAATAACATGTCTTGAGCCAGGCACATCAAGATCCTCAAAGTAACATCCTTGCTTTTCAATACGCTAAAGAAATCTTTTGTAGCAGGTTTACCCAAGAGATTTTGTGATCTCTTGGATTATGGATTCAAGGAAGACAAAATCCTTAACTTCAGTCTTTCTCCATCTATCATGATTTACCCATTGGTCTAGTTGTGAGGAATTTGATCTTCACTACATTGATTTGTAATCCATACTAAAGGCTGAAATCCTTGCTCTTCATCACCAAAGTTTCGAGCCCTTTCAGCAAGCAGGTGTGTCACTTACATATCAAAGGTTGTTAATATGTTAATAAGCCTTCCTCCAATGCTGATACAACATACTTCATATATATAATTCAGCTTCTCTGATTATTACAAGGGGCAAAACTGGCAAAATCTCTGCATTCATGGAGCTAAGGTTCTACAATGGGATAGAGGGCAGAAGGAAGGAATATATATATATGTACATGCATACAGACACTTAAATTCAAAGTGTGTGAAAAACTTAATTATGTTTTACTTTTGTTTTTTGAAACACCCTCATTTGTGTGTGTGTACAAATGAACAGTAAGCTGATTGAAGAAAAATGTCAAGGGAGAGAAGGTGATGGGAGTAGAGGCTGCTGTTTTGGGTAGAGTAGTCAGGGAATGCCAGGGCATCTCTACTGAAGTAAGTTTTGTGGAGAGAACTGAAAGAAGTGAAGGAACAAGTCATATTTGGGGGAATACTGTTGTAGGCAGATACTGTGCTAGGCAGGAGAATGCATGACTTAATTGAGGAATACTAAGTGGACTGGTGGGGCTGGATTGAGTCAATTGATCTGTTTTGGAAGGACCACTCTGGCTGCTGTGTGGGTGTATGAGTACGTGTGGGTGTGTGAGTACGTGAGTGTGGCCTGAGAAATCAGACCTCTTGCTGAGTAGAGCCTTTGAGGGCATGGATGCTGTTTTTGATGCCCAGTATGTGTTCTGATCTGGAATTTGATATTAAAGGTGTTTTCTCCTCTAGGCTTGGTAGCATGGGGGTCCTGGACTACTACCTGATGGATGCTGCCTCCTTGCTGCCAGTCCTGGCCCTTGGCCTGCAGCCTGGGGACACCGTGCTTGACCTGTGTGCGGCCCCTGGGGGAAAGACATTAGCCATGCTTCAGACTGGCTGTTGCCGTAAGTTGGGATGTTGGGGTCTTTGGCTGGGAGGGCTCCCCACCAGGCAGGGGCACACTGAATGGTCTTTCTGGTCCCAAGGCCAGTGAAGGGACAGTGCTTGCTTGCTTGCTAAACAGGTGTATTTTTTCTTAGCTTGTAATTGCCCCTCCCCTTTGTCTGCCAGCTGACCAAGAGACAGTGTTGGGCAACAGTGATGAGAGCAGGGGTCTGATCAGCCTTAAGACACAGTCACCTCTCTGCCTCACTGACTTTATTTCCAAAATCAAGTTCCCGTTCCTTAAAAACAAAACAAACCCATTGACATTGAGATGATTTTGACTCATAGTGACCTTGTAAGAGAGGGTACAACTGCCCCACAAGCTATAAATCTTTATGGAAGCAAACTACCACAGCTGCATCCTGTGGAATAGCCGGTAGACCGCTGCACCGCAGTTTGCCTTTCCTTTTCCTGAGTGCCAAATGAAAATGAGAAGATTTGGCTGCACCCACCTTTTATATCTTTTTATTATCATCCTTCCCAAGGATTTGTTTGCTTTTACCACACCCTACTATTCTGTGTTGCCTGAATAAGCCTCCACCTTTGCTAATGTGTTCGTTCTAGTTTGCCACCTCTGAAATGTTACTACTTCATCCCAGTTCTGTAGAAAATCCTTTTGGTTTTCAAGCCTCAGCTCAAGGGCACCACCTTCTGGATGTCTCCCCTTATGACCTCTGCTGGCTGCTTCCGAATGGACACCTCCATCTGCAAGCTCATGTAGTGGGCATCACTCCTCTACCGTTAGCACGCTAGACTTGCATCAGAGCTTTACTGAGATGCAGCGTTTCCCTCTTGGAGATAGTGATTCCTTGGCCCAGGTTTCTGTTTTTGTTTGCTTTTATTTATCTATCTATCTATCTATCTATCTATCTATTTATTTATTTTCCCCCCTCACTCCCCTCCCCCCTCTGCTCTGCTTACTTTTAATGAATCATTTTCTTGAGGGTCTTAAACCTCTTAGAATAATCTGTACATCCATTGTGTCAGGCACATTTGTACATGTGTTGCCATCATCCCTTTCAAAACATTTTCTTTCTACTTGAACCCTTGGTATCAGCTCCTCATTTTTTTTCTTTCTCCCCCAGCCTCCTCACAAACCCTTGATAATATATAAATCATTATTATTTTCATATCTTATATTGATTGATTGCTGTCTCCCTTCACCCATGTTTCTGTTGTTCTTCCCCCTGCAGGGGGTGGGGGTGGGGAGCGGCGGTAATACATCGATCATTGTGATCAGTTCCTCCTTTCTCCCCCTACTTTCCCCCACTTTCATGGTATCGCTACTGCCATTATTGTTCCTGAGGGGTTTATACGCCCTGAATTCTGTGTGTCAAGAGCTCATATCTGTACCAGTGTACATGCTCTGGTCTAGCCAGATTTGTAAGGTAGAGTTGTAAGTCATGATAAGGGAGGGGGGCAAGCATTAAATAACTAGAGGAGTGTTGTATGTTTCGTTGGTGCTATACTGCACCTTGGCTGGCTCATCCGTTCCTTGTGACCCTTCTGTGAGGGGATGTCCATTGTCTATAGATGGAATTTGGGTCTCCACTCCAGCCCCAACTCCCCTCATTCACCTCGATATGATTCTTTGTTTTGGGTCTTCTGATGCCTGATACCTGATTGACACCTCATGATCACACAGGCTGCTGTGCTTCTTCTATGTGGGTTTTGTTGCTTCCCAGATAGATGGCCACTTGTTTCTCTTCAAGCCTTTAAGACCCCAGACACTGTATCTTTTGATAATAGGGCACCATCAACTTTCTTCACATTTGCTTCACCCATTTTTCTTCAGTGATCATATCAGGAAGGTGAGCATCACAGAATTGGTCTAGGTTTTATTCATGTCTGTGATGCAGCCCAGCAGAGACCGCTTTGTCTGTAAGTGTTCACTTTAGGCATCTAGTGGCCAACATCCTGCTTTAAAATCAGCAGTGTTCTTTCTTGAGAACCTGAGAAATGTCCATGAAAGAGTTTTCACACCATCCAGGAACTCAGCCAGACTTCTCTTGCTATGTGCCTGAGCCTTTCTATTGGCCTTTCTCCATCTTTGGTTATCTAGTTTATACAGTTTGTGTAGCCTTCAGCTTCATCCTAGACCCAGGAGTGATCCATAGAGGGGCTCACACCTGATCTCAGCCTGCTGGAATCCCAGAGGGAGAGGAGAAAAGATGTAAGCATAACTTCATGAGTCCAATGCACACAACCTGCCTGCTGGGCTGTGCGAATCTGCCATTGCTGTGGAAATCCATTATAGAGGTATGAATGATGGCAGGGTTACTTGGAAGAGGAGGAATTTGAACTAAGAGGAGGGAGAAGGACAAAGGAGAAGTAATTGAGAGCTGCTCTTCCAGTTAGTGTTGGATTGCCAGCAGCCCGCCCTTATCCCAGGGCCACTCAAGTGACTCCTTGCTCAGGGACAGACAGAATCACAGATTATCACTGCAGGAAAGGAAGTTTACAGAGGTGAGCGAGTACAACCCACCTATTTTATGGAGGACGAGAACTGAAACCTGAAGAAATTTGAGTAAATAATCTTAAATGAGTCAGAGGTAGTGCTGAAAATAGAACCCAGCTTTTCTGTTTTCAGTTTATATCCTGCTACCAATTCCTCCAGGTCAGCGAATACAGTTTTCCTTCTTTGAACACCCTCAAAATGGCCTGTGGGGTGAAGGGGGTTCCCCCACACATCATCACAGGTCCAGTAGGCGCAATTGTCCAGCGATAATAAGTAAAGATTATAGTGAAGTCATAGAAAGCATGAGAGGTAGAGGAGAGAGTCTAATAATGGAGTCAGACACACTTCATAGTAGCATGCTCACCTTAGCCTCGCTTGGTGGTCCTCGTGGGGGGAGCCCGGCCACGAGAGCAGGAGAGACCCAGGGCGTGAGGACCGGGGAGAGCCTCCACTTTATTGCTAACCAAGAGTTATCTCTCATTAGGGGGACATGATTACAGGTAACCACACATCACAGGAAGGGGCAGTACAATAAGCATACACATTGTAGGAAGGGGATGTATGATAGGCATAAGCGAAACAGGAAGGGGATGAGCTAGGGGTGTGCCCACAGGAATGGGAAGGTCTAGGGGTATACATGTGACAAGATGGGCGGACCCTACGTTCATGATGGCAGCCTAACCTTGGTCATCCTAGGGCGGGTTTGACCTCTCTGGTGTCTCCTACAAGGAAACAGACAACTACTATCCGTATCAGAAGGGAGTGGGCCCTACTTGTGGGATAAACAGTGGTGTCTGCTTGGTGTGGATGTCTGATAGCTCTTAGGGAGAATGACCCTTAATTTACTCCTGACGACCTCCAAGTGTATAGTCATTCTCAAGCAGCTAAGTCTGGCATATATTTGGGGGAGACAGCTTGAGAGAAATCCTTCAGTTTCCCATAATGGCCCATATTTCTTTGTGGTAACGCTAAACTGGATCTTAGCTGTGACCGCTCCTTTTAAATTAGGTCTGTGCTCCTCAGTTCTTCACCACAATTCCCATCCCTCCCCATCATTCCTTGACTCCGAAACCACGGATCCATTACCCTTGATCATTGAGACTTTCATTGTAGAGTTAAGAGCAAAGTGAACACTTGGGTGTCAAAAAAAGAAAAGCGAAACATATATGGTGAATAAGTTAGAATTCAGTTTGGTTGCATAATGTAGTGAACCCCAATCACAGTGGCTTAAATAAAAGAAAGTTTATATTTCACTTTCATAAGAGAAACCCGCATGCAAACAGTCCTAGGCTGCTAGCTATCAAGGATCAGGGACTTGTCTCCCCCTCCTGCCCCCCCTTAACATTTTATTGTTAGATGAAGGTTACAGAAGAGATCATAGTTTTACATTCAATGATTCATACACATTTGGATTAAAGTCATCCATTGCAATCCCCTAATGTACCATCTCTTAGTCCTCTTGCTCCCTGCTTCCTGTTTCCTTCCCTAACTCTCTGAATTGTGTCCTTGCATGAGTACGGCCCTTGCTGATTCTAACATGGGTAAATTCCATTCCAGACCCGAAGTTGTTAGGTGCTGTGGAGTCCATTGAAGTCCTAGCCACCCCATGTACAACAGATGGAAACACTGTCCAGTTCTGCGCTGTCCTCACAGTTGTGTTTGAGTCCATTACTGCAGCCACTGTGTCAGTCCATCTTGTTGGTGGTCTTCCTGTTTGTCACTGACTCTCTTTTCTCAAGCATGATGTGCTTCCTCAGGGCCTAGTCTCTCTTGATAGCATGACCAAAGTACATGAGAAAAAGTCTGGCCATCCTTGCTTCTAAGGAGCATTCTGGCCGTACTTCTCCCAACACAGATTAATTAGCTTTTCTGACAGTCCACGGTATTTTCAGCATTTGCCAGAACCATAATTCAAGTGCATCCATTCTTCTTCGATCTTCCTTATACATTGTCTAACTTTTACATGTTTATGCAGTGATGGAAAACTCCTTGGTTTGAGTCAGGGAGACCTTAGTCTTAAAGGTTACATCTTTGTTTTTCAGTACTTTAAAGAGGTCTTGTGCAGCATATTTGCTGAATGTAACATGCCATTTGACTTCTTGATTGCTTCTTCCGTGAGCATTGGTTGTGGGTACACGCAAGATGAAATCCTTGACAACTTCAATCTTTTCTCCACTTATCATGATACTTATTGGTCCAGTTGTGAGGATTTTGGTGTGTTTTTTTTTCCACTTTGTTATAATCCATACTGAAGACTGCAGTGCTTGATTGTACTCCATCAGTGCTCTAGTTGGTGGACTATGTTGCTGGACCATGGCCTCTGAAGTTTCTTTGCTCTTATAGGGAATCTTGCTGCCAATGATATCTCCAGTTCCCGAACAAGCAGGCTACAGAAGGTCCTGCACAGCTATGTGCCCCAAGATATCAGGGATGGGAATCGAATTCGAGTTACTTCATGGGACGGCAGAAAGTGGGGAGAACTGGAGGGGGATACCTATGACCGGGTAAGTGATTCCTGACCAGAGACACCCAGCCAGCCTAATCTGGCATCTCCATCCTGTCCCAAGGCCCTGAGAGGTGGGATCCAACCTCCGTGTTTGAGCTTATTGGATTGTTTCTGGATCTGATTAGCTCTCATGGGTGATGGGAAGAAAATAGCCCTTTTGTCAGTTTAGCTTAAATGAATGACTACTACTACCTTTATTAGAAACAGTTCACAACGAAAAGAGCTTCAGCTTGATTGTGATGCTTCAGGTTATGTATCAACTGGGTTATGATTCTCAGTGGTTTGGCAGTTATGTGATGATATAGTTTGGCAATTATTGTGGATCTATTTTGGCATCCTCCATGACGTGGTTTGATGTGATTAGCTAGTCAGTTGTAAAGAAAGTTTCCTTAGGGATGTGGCCTATAAAGGGACATGCTGGCAACGTAAGCTCTCTTGCTTGCTTTGGCTCTTCCATCCCTCTTGTCATCATCTGACCTGTTCTTGGGATTCTTCAGCCTCACAATCTGTGAGCCAGCATCCTGACATCTTACCAGCTGATCTGTCACTCCCTGCAGGTAAGTGAGTTAGGAAAACCCTTCAGCCTTCAGCCTGACCCATAGACTTATGATTTGCCATGCTCTATAGCTATTTGTGCTGTTTCCTTGAGATAAAGCTGTTACTCTGTTATACACACACACTTTACTGCTTTTGCTGCTCTAGAGGAACCAGCCTAAGACACCATCGTAGTGGAAAAGAAAGGGTTATGCGGTTTATTTTATTTCCCAAATCATTTGGTTGCTTAGAGGCCCTCATGAAAATAAGTGTGAATAAGCTCAGTTTATTCACTCTTGAATATTTCGACAGCACATGGTGCAAAAGTCGAAAGGCACAAAGGTATACACAGCGAAAGTAAGTTTCCCCTCTTACTCCTGCCCCTCAGCCATCTACTTCCCCTCTGTACAGGTAATACTTCTATGTCGTTTGAGATAATATTCCCTGTATGTACAAATATAAATGTGTGTGTATCTTTTAAAAGTCGGAATGGTTAATATACATATTCTTCTGAACTTTTTCTTTTTTAAAACTTTCTATTGTTAAATAGGTGAGGCGTAAACACCATATCGTTTTTTGCATTCAACCCCCACCCACCGAAAGTCTTGACCTATTGCCTCCCCAGCCTTCCCCTTCTCCTGTCTTCTTGTATATCATTCCCCTTTTATTCAGAAGTGAGCGCCTGTCCAGCCTCTAGTGTAGTTCCTCCCCTTCCTTCTCCTCCCGCCCTGTCAGCCATCATCATGTTTCTTTTGGCACAGAAACTTTTTCCTGATTTTTTTTTTTAACAACATTGGCTAAACTTTACTTTTTAAATTTCACAAAGTATCTTGGGATTCAATTATTTTACTATAGAGAGCTACTTCATTCTTTTTAGTAGCTCTAAGAGTATTCCATTGTTATGAACGAGCCATATAATGATTCAGTCATCCTTGAACTCATGTAATTTACCACAACAGCAAGTATGTTTTTGGAGTATATTTGCTGGTTAACAGTTTATTTGCATTGAAGATTTTAATAGAGATAATGAAATCATTCTCTTTGGGGGCTAAGCCACTTTCGTTCCTACTGGCAATGGTAATGAATAAGACTATCATTTTCCTGTAACCTTGTGTTGTCAAACTTTAGTTTTTGCCAAATCAGGATCTAATTTACATTTTCATATTATGAATTATGTCACGTCATTTCTTATGTTTAAGTCAATTATATTTTCCTTTAATATTGCCTAAAATGTATAATTTATTAATATTAAATCTAATAAAATATTTCCCCAAATATTTAAATACTATTTCCTAAAATATATTTTTAAGTATTACTTCTAAAAATATATAACTATTGTCTCTTGTTATCTGACTTAATCTATCTAGTTCTTGCTATTTTATTTATGTTTTTCCTGTTAATTTTTGGTCATTTGGTTTTTTGTGTTTTTAAAAAAAATAAATAATCATTTTATTAGGGGCTCATACAAATCATCACAATCTGTACATACGTCATCTGTGTCCAGCACTTTAGAACATATGTTGACTTCATCATTCTTACGACACCCACTTTCCACTTGAGCCCCTGGTGTCAGCTCATTTTCCCCCCTCCCTCTCCCCCCCCCTTGCCCCCCCACCCCGATAATTTATAATTTATTATTCTTTTATCCTATTTTACCCCATCCCACGTCTTCCTCACCCACTTCTCCGCTGTCCGTCCCCCAGGGAGGAGGCCACATGTAGACCTTGTCTCTGTTCCCCCTTTCTTCCTCTCTTTCCCTCCACCCTCCCGCCATTGCTACTCTCTCTGGTCCTGGGGGGTTCATCTGTCCTGGGTTTACTGTATTTCCAGTTCTTATCTGTGCCAGTGTACCTCCTCCGGTCCAGCCGGATAGTAAGGTAGAATTGGGATCATGGTAGTGGGGGATCATTGGGTTTTATCTCCTGGTAAGTGAATAATAGTTTTATTGAATACCAGACATTGTATATGAAAAGTAGAAAGATATTCTGAAGCTCAAGATGGTCATATCTTCCTCTAGACAGTTAACATCAGGACATATCATCTGAATTCATTCAGAAATTAGGTTGATTGAAATTTTGATTTTTGTGAGCGCTGTTCTATTTAGTTTACCTTCATATCTAGGGTACTAACCTACAGGAATCCAACTCAAAATGTGAGGTGTTTGTTTACTAGGATGCCCTGCTCCTGGGGTGGGCTCTGAACCCCAATGTTTGTCCCCTAAGAATAATGGAAATTCCTTTCAATTTCTCAGCCTCCCAGCCATCACAGTGGAGCTGAATTTCTCTGGCTTACAGCCTTATATTTTTTCTTTGTGACATCTTACCCCTCGAGTTCTTGCTTTCTTAGAAGATTGCTATTGATTTCATGTAGAATTTTCCCCCCTCTTTTCGTGAATTAGGTGAAGGTTTACAGAGCAACTCAGTTTTCCATTCAGTGGTTCATTACCCGTCCCCACCCTGTTGTTGTTTCATATTATCACTTGCAGTCCTCACAATGTCATACCACTTATCCCTCCTCCTCTCGATATTTCCTGTTTCCATTCTTCTTTACTAACTCTTCTGAACTTTGTCTTTGGCCTTGATTATTTTGATCTTAAGTAATTGATTATTCTGAGGGTTGTGTACCTCCCTGCTTATTATTGTTCTCCTTATAGACTTGTCTATTGTTTGGCTGAAAATTGAGCCATAGGGTGAGTTCAATTCCAGGCTTGAATGGCCATATTTTCTTGGAGATTCTTCCGGGCTCTCTTCAGCCACGAAGCCTGATCTTTTTCATGATTTTGAGTTTTGTGCTACATTTTTCTCCTACTCCACTCAGGATTTTCTAATGGGACTCACGGTAACTTAGTAGTAGTAGTAGCAGCAGCAGCAACCAAACACCATCACATTGTTTTGGTCTCAGGGTTGTGGGGGCGGACCGATTGTTTCCATGTGTCTTCAGTTTTCTCCAGTCTTTGTGCTAGATGAAGAGACCGGTAGTTAAATGGCTGTTCACTAGCTTTTAATACCCCAGTCACTACTCACCAAAGTAGGATCAGAGTATTACCTTTGTGGACTGTGCTGTGTCAATTGACCTTGGTGTCCCAGAACTATGATCTTGAGACCATAACTCATTCCCCTTTGGTATTTGATAATATCACTAAGTAGTTCTCATAACTTTGTATGCTCTACTGTATTCAGGAATGTATTTTCAGAATAGGTAAGCATATATGGAGACTAGCCTGTCAGACGTATTTGTGTACTCATGGGCAGAGTCCCATTCTTCTTCTCACACCTGTTCATCTTGCATTTCTATCTATGCAGCCACTCCTAAATTGTTGTGACTGCAGGATTGTGTATAGAATGGTATTTACCTTTAACCTTCTTCTCAGTATCTTCCTTTGCCTTTGTATCTTATTGCTGGTCGTGTTTATTGTATATTTCTTCTCCTTCACTCAAGTTAATATGTATCTACCTTCCAGTTAGTAATTTACCCTCCCTTTCAAGCAATTAAAAATACATATATTTAGTTCTCAAAAGAAGGGTTGATCAGTAACAGGCTATTCTGTCGTTATTAGAAATGGGAAAATTTGATTTTATTGTCAGTTTTTACCCTGCCTACTAAGTCACAACAAGACCACTTAATGACCACCTGGAAGGTCATCTGTTCAGAAACCCACAGGTACAGTTTCACTCTGTCCTGGAGGATTGCTGAGTCAGCATTGACTTTGATGGCTGTAAGTTTGGAGTGAGAGCAATGAACAATGTCCTGATAAGTAGAGAAAATGTTGATGTTGTCAAGGGCTCCATTTTACTTGGATCCTCAGTCAACACCCAAGGAAGCAGCAGTCAGGAAATCAAAGGATATATTGCATTGGGCAAATCTGCTGTGAAAGACCTCTTTATTTATTACGTTTACACTGTTTTAATTATAAATTGGGTGAAGGCTTACAAAGCTGGTAGAATTCATACACATTTTGATTGAACTCATCCATTGCAGTCCCCTCAGTCTCCCCTCGCTAGCCCACTTCCTCCTGGCTTTCCTGTGTCCATGCCTCCGCCTTTCCTAACCCTCTGAATTTTGTCCTTGGGTCAGTGCTGTCCTTGTGGCCTGAAATGGTTGGTGAATCTTTCACACAAGAGTGGGTTCAGTTCTAGAGCTGAAGGGTGATTAAGGGCCATAGTCTTAAGGATTCCACCAGTCTTTATAAGCCTGGTCTCCTTTATGCTTTTGAGTTTTGGTACACATTTTTTTCTCCCACTCTGTTCATTACCTTTTGATAGGATTCTCCCCCCTTTAATTATTTATTTATTATTGTTTTTAAAAATTACTAATTGGTATTTAATACACATATCACGTCAAATTTCAATCACGTCAAGTAGAAGGTACAATTGCTACCATAATTGGCTTTCAAACATTCTTTTTCCACATGGACTCCTTGACATTGTCTCCCCTCCCCCCTACCTCCACCACTGTACTCCCCTCCCCCCCAACCCCCATTCCGCTTGCTGTCACCCCAGGGTCATTGACCCTAGGTTTCATATACCGAAAAACAGGAAAGCATATAACCCAGCCTCAAGAGGGATCACTAGGAGTTGGAACCAATTTAACAGTTAATATAAGAGCGCTAGTGAGCATTGATGTGCATCCGCCAGAAAGGCTCGGAGTATCTTATCCACCCAGGAGCATTACTAATCAATATGAGGGGTGTTTTTTTTAATAGATCTTTTATTTGGTGTTAACTGCACAGGAAAACAGAGACTCCTTATACTAATAAAGGTGGAATTGGAGCAATACAGGGTTTGGGGCTGACGGCCCTGTAATCCCATCATACCATAGTGTGGCATTTTGCCAACTTAACCAAAAATACTTTTCTTTGTGATCAGCAATTCACCAAACTAAAAACCACACTTTCAGCTCTGTTGCCCAGAGCCTGAGCTTAGGCCACCAGTATAATAGAAACAAATAAATACACTGTGAGTGGCCCCTGGGCTGTGTGTGCTCTGAATGAGGGTCTGCGAATAAAGGATCGAATGTGTGTGCCTGAGATGAGTTTGTTTCTGCCACAGACACAGACGATACATCTTTAGAGACTGACACTCTGATTCCTTTGTGCTGTTAAATTCTCGTTCAGTGTAAGGGCTGGTCAATTTTTAGGAAGCACCAGAAAAAAAAATGCACAGGACTTCTCTGAAATCTGTAACTAACAGGAACACAAAATCTCACGCATGTGGATGTGCACACGCACACAATCCCACAGACAGTGTCAAAAGAGAAGCTGCATAGCCCCTCACATGCCAAAGGGGACCCTATCGTGTCCCTGAGACACCACAGCATCCAGTGCCATCGTCTGTATCATTAGGTAAGAAAAAAGTCACGGAGCTCAATGCTCAAAGCAGATGTCTGGTCTAGGCCCACTAGGCTGGCTGCAGACTGTGCATGCCTACGACCTGCTGAAGCCACATGATGTCAAGCCCCCAGTCACCTCCTTGCTCCCACTGAGGGCATCTCCCCTCCTCCCCCTCCCCTGCCCCGTCAATGGCTTCACAAGTAGGGCTCTTACACAATGAGTCCTTAGAACAGGAAAACAAGCTAAAATGTTTAGGGTTTGCAAATGTGACCCAGCACCATGCTGCCACGCTTTCTTCCAGTGCTGTGAAGTAGGGGTGATGATGTGTGTGCCATCTCACCCAGGCTGGCAGGTGCCTGGCACGGCCTTGCTCCACTCCCTCCCTGCTTCCCATCCAGTTTATCCAGACACTGGGCACACAGAATGAAACCCAAGATACCTGCAAAGGCTGCCGGTTACAACTTGTCAGGGGAAATTTCTTGTTTGCCCAGAGTTTAAGCCAAAATGGGCAACTTGTCATCGTCTTTTGTGGACTGATTTTTTCCCCCTCGTTCTTTCTTTGATTTGTATGAAAGCTTAAACTCTCAGAACCCTGGTTTGCAAACAGCTATGGATAACAGTGATAGCTCAAGATCCTTTTGTTGGGTCCCCACATAGATTAAGCCTCGTTGAATTCTTTCTGATCCTTAACCAAGGATATAAATAATCTTACCCTCAGGCAGAGTGGCTTGGAAATTAGTTTACTTCCACCCCTCTCCAGCCAGCCCAGGGAGGGGCAGTCTCTCTTTGGGGCTTGCCTGGATGTGTCCGTGATGGAGCTTACTGTACTGGGGACAGTACAGGGGGTCACATGGCCATGAGTCATGCTCCGCCAGTCTCAATCTGACTGCCTTGGCTGGAGGACCCTGGGCCAATCTTGTAAGCCCTTCTATCTAACATAATGTACATGTCCTGGTCATGGTCCTGTTCCTGCTCCTACCTGTAACTGTCATCTGCAACCGATCATGAATTTGTGACAGTTTCCTGTGGTCCATACCTGCTTAAGCCATCGTGTGACTGAATCATTGGGCGCTATTTTGACCGCATGCTAATGGCCTCCTCCTTCTGGATGATGCGCCTCTGTCTGTGTCTCTTTTGACTTAATAAATACATTTTCCTTAAATTATAGTTGAAATGGGGGTCTCTTTTGTCTTCTAAACAGATTGAACATGTAACCCACTAAGGATTTTGGCTTTGCTATGAGTTTCCATCCTAACTCCTAACATTTAGTGAGTTCTATGACCTTTTTCCTGCCCCCTGGGGCTTAGGGATTGTAGGACAGACTTCAATTCCTACCCACTTCTCTAGATTTATGCTCCTGTTTTTTCCTTGAGATTTTTCTGATTTTCTGTGAGCTATGTACTTTATTTTTTTAAAATTATTTATCTAGCCTGTATGGGTATTTTATATTACAATGGCTTTAAGGATATCCAGTTTACTTCATTTGTTGGAAATGAAGTTATCTATCCATTTCTTCTATGATGTGATTTCTTGAACATCCCAGAGGCTCTTCCTTGAGTGTTCGCATTTAGCTAATGTGTTTTTCCCGCTTGAAGTGCCACCTCCTTTACAGTTCTAGAGATACGACCTGACTAATCTGGAATACACGCACGTCTTTATTTCCCTTCTTCTGTGGGCACTCTCTCAATTTATGTCGTCTAGGAATTACATCAGAATATTGTCACTGCTAATTTACTTGGAGTATGTGCTTAGCTAAACATATTTTTTGAAATATACAGTGAACCCTCGCCACTTCGCGCTTCGACTTCCGCGGCTTCACTCTTATCGCGGTTTTTGCGTAACAGCGCATGCTCTGTCATTACTGCCACTGATTGGCTCATACTGTACACGCTTGATGCCATAAATAATATAATAAATAATAAATGATAATTGTAACGTCCAAAATGTTTTACTGTATTTTCCCTTTTTCGTTTAATAAATTGGGTAATACGAGTGTAATGGTGACTAAAGGGTGTTTTTTCATGTCCTCTATGCTCAAACTACGAAAATATTTGATTTACAAATAAGGAATCCTACTTCACGGAATTTAATTTATCATGGTAGGGTCTAGAACCGATTAACCGCGATAAACGAGGGTTCACTGTACATACAGGACTGTGTGTGTGTGTGTGTGTGTGTGTGTGTGTGTGTGTGTGATTTGTTCTTGGTGCCTAGCACAGATAGGCTTAACGAATGAATTAATGACATTTCTCAGGTTAAACATTTCCATATTAGGTCTGACTTAATGTTTCAATTTAAGGTAATTTTGAATTCTGATATTGTTAATCAATGTACTTAGTTGCTGAATTACCATTGTACTATCTGTAAATTGAATATGTCCAGTTAAAATAGCCCAGGGGGAAACACTAAATATTTCTTTCTAGATAGATATCAACTATTGAATAAAAGTGTTTTTGACAGCCATGAATATATTCCAGTGTATGCGATGTTCCCGGTCATTATTTCACGATTGTCTACCCAGTTAAAATGGGAAGCCTTGTCTCTGCAGTTCTCTACAGTGGAGGGGTAGACAGAGGCAGCACTCCACACAACCTCCAAGGCTAGAGACTTACAACAACCTTGGTCTAAGCAAGAGCAGTCTCAGGGAGCCCTAATGCTTTCCCTTTCCAGGTGCTGGTGGATGTGCCCTGTACCACAGACCGCCACTCCCTTCACGAGGAGGAGAACAACATCTTCCAACGGTCAAGGAAGAAGGAGCGGCAGATGTTGCCTCTGCTGCAGGTGCAGCTTCTTGCGTGAGTGAGAGATTTCCAGAACCTCAGAACTTTGTGCCAGAGTGCTGTAGGGGTTTAGTCACCTGTGGGCTGGAGGACCGGTCGCTCCTGCCAAGACCATCAGCCATAGGTAGGGGAGTCTTCTGGTTAGAGAGCTACCTGAAGGAGACAGATATTGGGGGATATTTTTTTTTTTCTTTCTTTTTTTGAGCAAAAGGGAAGAAATTTATTGGAGCCCATATGGGCAACCCTACAGGGGCCCAGTATACCCTATGGTGAAGGGTCACACCATTCACTGTACCCCCATGTCCCAGAGGGACTCCCCTTGAGCTGAGCCCCAAAGCCCAAGGGTGGGAGCCGGGGACAGTTCTTTTCTGGAATTTAAAAACACTGTCTTGTAGGATGGACATAGGAGGTTTGGCTGTCTGAGTTTCTTGTATTATATTACTCTGTGTACCGGTACCAGTGAGCAGCACAAGTTTAAAAAATAACTACTACATTCAAGGCTCTGTGGGCTACTGTCCCTGCTCGCTATTGGAGTGTGGTCTATAACTGGAGCCCAAGGAGTCATTTCAAGAAGACTTCCTGGGGGAGAGTCTATGGAGGAATGTAGGGTTGCTTGCTGCCTGGAGAATTGAGTTTTCAGGGGCTAGTACTGTCTTCAGATGCTGTTTGACTTAACTACCCTCTCATGGTAGAGCCCCCTCTGCATGCTGCCAGCTCCCTCTATTGCCCTTCCCCTGCTGGAAAGCTCACTAGTCACTGCCTCTCTCTCTCTCTTTCTATGGTTTTAGGGCTGGACTTCTTGCTACCAAACCAGGAGGCTACGCCGTCTATTCCACCTGTTCACTCTCACATTTACAGAACGAATATGTAGTGCAAGGCACCATTGAGCTCCTGGCCAATCAATACAGCATTGAGGTTCAGATTGAAGACCTGACTCACTTCCGCAAGCTCTTCACAGACACGTTCTTTTTCTTCCCCTCCTGCCAGGTGGGGGAGCTAGTAATCCCAAACCTCGTGGCCAATTTTGGACCTATGTACTTTTGCAAATTGCAGAGGCTAACATAGCATCAGCCTGTTTCTAAGACCCTGGTATAGGAAGACAAAAGGTATTCTCTGCTGGAGGGCACCAGAACCAGGGGCGCAGATGCACTTTGGGGCCTGCCTCCATCCTGTCCGAGGCTTTCTACAGACAATTTTCAGCAGAGGAACAAGAGTGTTTCTGCCCTGCTTTCTAGTTGTGGACCATCAGCAAGTTTCTAACCTACTCATTGTCTACCCACCACCTATCTCCAAGTCAATGCTAAAGGTTCCTGCCCCATCAGGAGCTTAGGAGGAGGAGCCGATAAGCCTGCCCACACAGGAAGCTGGAAGCTGGGAAGCAACATTTAGTCAGTAAAATTGTTGCAGCTCCATAGATCTATATGAGGTTAGAGACCTCCTGTCAGTCCAAGAACTGTTGGTTTCATTTGTACCAGCAACTCCTGCCTTTGAGTTCTAACTCAGCATTGCTTAGGGATTAACTGCCCAAAGCTCAGACCTCAGAACCAGAGCCTCCTTCACACTTGATGTGTTCCACCTGATCGCTCTTGAATAGCCTACCAGCCCAAATAAATCTGCCTAATTTCTCCACATGGCTGTGATGTAATTGAAGGAACAAGCAACTAAAAATGTTAAACCATTGTATAATTGCTTTCTTACCCACACGGAGAAAGCTCTCCTGAGGTGAATGATTCCAGCAGTTCTTCATGCTGTCCCTACCATTGCTGCTCACATGTGACCAGGGAAGCTCCACCTGCCACTGGACTGCCTGCCCCTTTGTGAGTTTCTCCCTCCGTTAATCCACCTGGCAAGTGCTTTTTGCACTCCCGCTGTGGGGCAAGTCACTACTAGGATACAGTAATTGTAGGAGCCTGTAGGAGATAACCAGGCTTCCTCATTCGTCCGATGGCAAGTCTCACCTGCCTGCTTCCTGAACACTGGAATCTCTTGGTGACCTTGGGTTGGTTTTATTACATATAAAAACATATACATGCATTTTGCTTCCTGGTTTGTGACTGAAGACTGAACTATCCAGTTCTTTGGCTCCCCTCAAATCAACTTCGAGCTTTTACCTCAGCATCATGGGGCCTCATCTTACAGTTTGTGCTCGGGGACAAAATTACATCATTTATCGACTGTTGTTTTTGTAATTCTAGCCAAAGGAAAGTAATGCTTTAGTGGCAGGGATATTAAAAAAATATGGTCACTAGCAGGTATTGTTTCTTTATTTAAAAAAGAATTTTTGTGTGTATGGATTGGGATAACAGTTGTATGAGCCCCTAATAAAATGTTAAAAAAACATTAATTTAAAAAAAAATTAGCGGCTGTCTAGCTCAGAAGCAACAAAGCCCACAGAGAAGAAGCACACAAGCCTGTGTGATCACGAGGTGTTGAGGGATCAGGTAGCAGAAACCAAAGAACAAAAACCATCATTGTGTGATCACCTTCCCCACATAAACGCTGAAGACTAATGTGTGCATAAGTAAGTGTGGTGAAGAAGGCTGATGGTGCTGCCTATCGAGAGATATAGCATCTGGGGTCTTAAAGGCTTGAAAGTAAACAAGCGGCCATCTAGCCCAGAAGCAACAAAGCCCACATGGAAGCAGCACACCAACATGTGTGATCATGGAGGGCCAAGGGGACCAAGTTTCAAGCACCAAAGGCCAGGGGTGGGGGTGGGGGGGGTGATATCATTGTGAATGAGGGGAGCGTGTGAGGGGGACCCAATGCCCATCTGTAGACAACTGGACATCCCTTGCAGAGGGGTAGTGGGGAGGAGATGAGTCACTCAGGGTTCAGTGTAGCAATAATGGAACTCTCAACCTTCCTCTAGTTCTTAAACGCTTCCTTCCCGCAACTATCATGATCCCAATTCTACCTTGCAAACCTGGTTAGACCAGAGGATGCACAGTGGTACAGATGGGAACTGGAAATGGAATCCAGGACAGATGAACTCCTCAGGACCAGTGGTAACAGTGGCGATACCATGAGGGAAGGAGGGGTAGAAAGGGGGAACCGATCACAAGGATCTACATATAACCTCCTCTCTGGGGGATGGGCAACAGAAAAGTGGGTGAAGGGAGACGCCGGACAGTGTAAGATAAGAAAATAATAATTTATAAATTATCAAGGGCTCGTGAGGGAGGGGGAGGGGAAAAGAAAATGAGCTGATTCCAGGAACCCATGGGGAAAGCGAGTTTTGAGAATGATGAGGGCAACGACTGTGTGCTTTACACAATTGATGTAGGTGTGGATTGTGATAAGAGTTGTATGAGCCCCTAATAAAATGATGTATAAAAATAAAAAAATATTTTAAACTAGCATTTGTAAATGATTTATTAGAGTACTTGAAGTTCCTGGCTCTTACCCTCCTGTCCCCTCCACTACTCCCTTTGTCCTTTGTGCTATTTTGTTCATGCTAATCCTTGAGTGGGTATTAGAGGTGTTGTCAGGTGAGGTTAAGCTTTCTCCTTTCTTTGGATTTGTGTGTGTTTGTTTTTTCCGGAGAGCCCTGGAAGACCTTCCAAACTCAAGTCAGATGACGCTAAGAAGGTGGAGCCTCAGAGAACTTGGTTGGTGCTCTGAGTAGGACCCTAACCAGCCTTCATATGTGGCAGGTGGTCCCTACCTGGAGTTGAGTCTGTGCTCAGTATTTGCTGAGACTGAGAGGCCTGAGGTGCCTCTACATTTGCCCTGGACCTGTTGGGTGCCAAGCCTGTGCTATTCGAATGCTTAAGCCCACCATTATCAAGTTGATTCCGACTCCTAGTGACCCAGTAGGCCACGGTAGAACTGCCTGTCAGTTTTCCGAGACTCAGATTGTCTCATCTCCTTCCGCAGAGGCGCTGGTGAGTTTGAACCACCAGCTTCACCTCCCATTTGAGTAACACAAAAAGAGGAGCTTATGCCAAGGGCTCAAGTAGAAAATGGTTTGGAAATGTTGGCAACATATGTGCAAATGTGCATGATACAGTTGACATGAAATGCTGCAAGAATTGTAAAAAACCCCTAGTAAATTTTTTTTAATTCACCAATTTTGAATGTACAGTTCAATGAATTTTGATAGTTGTGTGAGATAGTATAATCACTATTTCCATCAAGATAGGAGAACTCCAGGGCCAAATATCTCTATGTTATATAGTAATTCTATGATTCTACTCTTCTACCACCTGTGAAGGAACTGGGTGCTCCTGCTGGAGACAGTTAGGGATGCTCTCCTACATCTGGTAGCCCCAGTTCAGTGATCAAATGAGCCCACAATGTGACACCAGGCAAGAACCAGTTGCCCAACCCCAGAATCATAAATAAATTTACGCCACGCTGTTTTGAAGATGTTTGTTCTACAGTGAGAAATAATTGACATGGTAACCCAAATATGACAGGGTCTCTCACCCGCTTATAATCCTTAGTTCTCTGACCTTTAGGATCAAGACCCGATTCTTCCCTGGCACCTGACAATAGGTTTTCTTTCATTTGCTGTGGTCCTGACCTCTCCCTTTCTCAGGTTCTTTAAAAAAAAAATTATTAATCACTTTATTGGGGGCTGTGACAAATCATATGGCAATCTGTCATTCGAGTATATTAAGCACACTTGTACATAGGTTGCCATCACCATTTCCCAAGCCTTTTCTTTCGACTTGGGCCCTCACAGGTTCTTTGACCATCCCAAGTCCAGCCTACGTGCAGGAGGCATTTGTTGCTGCCTCTTTCTAAATACTGTTTTCCCTCTGCTTGCTGGCCCAGATTTCTACCCTTCCTAGGAAGCCGCCGCCTCTGTTCCCTCCTTTGCTCCCACAGCCCTCCTCTGACTATGGATCTTTCCATGTTTGCTTTCTCGCCACTCCCACCCAGGCTGGAAATTAATCAGGGCCCGAAGCCAATATTTATTTTTGCACCCCTGACCCTGGCACTCTGCTTGATTTATAACTAGCTAGTCAATACACGTTTGAGTACTTTTAATGTGCTAGGCCCAATCCCAGATACTAGTGAGAGTGATGAGCACAACAGACAAGGCAAGGCCCTTGTTCTCACAGGGGTACAATGTAGTGGGCAAGACAGACAAATAATTGTAAATAAGGGCGAAAGAGTAAAGCGCCTATCTGTGGGAACCTAACTCACCGTTGAGGAAAAGCTATTTAAAGAGACTTGAGGATGAAGTGGAGTTAGGTTAGTGATGCTCAGCGGTATGTGGGTATGTGGATGGGTGGTGAGTGCTCTGGCAGAGAGAACAGGTCAGGTGAAGCCCCTGAGGCATATGAGAACACTACCACAGATAGCAAAGTGGATCGTTGTGAGAAGCAGGCAGGAGCCAACTGCAGAGGGCCTGGTGAAGAAGGAGATATTTTATCCCATGAGTAATGGGAAGACATTGCAGAAGAGTTAAACATAAAAATGATCTACTCTGGTTTCCATGGGCCTCCCCCTGGGAATATAATGATCAATATTTGCTGAATGTGGAAATGAAATAATTGGCTCAGCAGAAATCGCCTCAGAAGGTTGGTGATTTCCTTAGGCCTAATCGGCCTCTCTCGTCTCTGTGTGAGGACTGCTGAGTGTCAAGCTGCGTAGCTTAGACCACATTTTGAGGCATCACGTTAGGAGTTATACTGGCAAATAGCCCATGGTCTGAGGAGGTGGACCAGGAGGAGCCAGGAACTATACAGGTCCAGCCCTGGAGCACTAGGCAAAATGAGAGGAGGCAGGAGGCCTGTGGGGTACTTTGAGTTGTACCCCAGGACCTATTGGGTGATCCTGGTAAGGGAGAAATGCACTAGAGTCCCTTGAGAAAACTCTAGGTGGGCAGATTTACGTTAGAGCCAAAGAAATTCAATGAAACCCCAATTTTGAGTGTCTGTCCCTCAAGGGATACAGATTGACTTTATGCAGGCAGACTTCACCGGCATCATACTAAAAATGCTTCACTAGTAAGCTAGTTGTTGCTATGGTTCCTGTTTAGTCACTCTCATGACAGAGCCCGTTCTACAGCACGCACAGCTGTGAGCACTTTGCTAATTAATATTAACTCATTTAATTCTCATAGTAACCAATGAAGGAGTGCAATTACTCTTGTTTTACAGATGAGGGAAGTGAGGTGCAGAATAATGAAGAAATTTAGCCATGGTTTCAAATTAGAGGAAGCTTCGAGCATTGCAGCTCATGTATATTCAGAAAGCTGGAGTTAAAAAATGAGGAAAACATTTAAAATGAGGTGGCTTTCTGAACTAATGACAAGTTTTGCAGGGAGATCAAATGATAAGATAGTACATTTGGCTGGCTGGACCGGAGGATGTACACTGGTACAGATAAGAACTGGAAACACTGGGAATCCAGGGTGGATGATCCCTTCAGGACCAGTGGTGAGAGTGGAGATGCCAGGAGGGTGGAGGGAGGGTGGGTTGGAAAGGGGGAACTGATTACAGGGATCTACATATAGCTTCCACCCTGGGGGACGGACAGCAGAAAGATGGGTGAGGGGAGACGTCGGACGGTGCAAGATATGACAAAACAATTTATAAATTATCTAGGGTTCATCAGGGAGGGGGGAGGGAGGGGAAAATGAGCTGATGCAACTGGCTTAAGTGGAGAGTGAATGTTTTGAGAATGATGAGGGCAATGAATGTACGAATGTGCTTTACTCAATTGATATATGTATAGGGATTGTGATAAGAGTTGTATGTGCCCCTAATAAAATGATAAAAATAAAAGATATTTCATTTTGACCTATCTATGTCTGTGATAATCAACTTTACAATCCTCTCCGTCTGATAGCAGGGCTATTTACATATCTTAACTTTGACTGGAGAGCTTAATCCATGTGGGGACTCTGCAAATGGATTTGGGGCTTCCACAGTCATCCATAACCATCTGCAAACCACGTGTTTACAATTTAAGCTCTAATGCCATCCTCTTCTATGGAATTGAATTTCATTATTTACAAACCTTGGATCACACAGGCTGGTGTGCTTCTTCCATGTGGACTTAGTTGATGCCTCACTTACATGGTTGCTTGTTGGAAAACAAGCCTTTAAGACCCAGATGCTATTCTTTCTGCACTTGATCTTAGCCAAAAGGCTGAGAAGCAATGATGCCATTCTTTCTGATACCCAGGCACCATCTAGTTTCTTTACCACACTTTGCTATCGCACCCATATCTTCAGTGATCTCTTCATGAGGTTGAGCATCAAGGAGGGCCATGTCTAAGAACTAATT